GCCAAGAAGCTCGCTACTGACTGGCTCAACTACCGCTTCGACCCCAAGTCTGCCTCTGCTGCCAAGGTCCAGGCTATCACCGATTACGAGACCCAGTTCCGCACTGCTGCTTAGACTGGCATCCTTCTACGCCTCGATACACTTGTGTCTTGGGAACCTTTCTGGTCTTGTCGCCCACCCCACCAACCTCGCCAATCTTGTGAAAGAGTAGTCAAGTCCATTGACTTGGCACGATTGTTATGTCTTTCTTAGTTCTCACAGCGCATGATACCACGACCCAAATGTTACTTCCGCTTTCTAGATTGGAAGATCACATAGATATGTATATAGTGAATGAAAAAACTATAGTCAAGTTCAGTAATGTGCCAGAGAGTAAGAGTAGATTGTCAGTAAATTCCATCCAGAGCTGTGCCAATTGAGCTGACTCAGACCTTCTGCGGGGATCTATGAGTTTCCAAAGTTCCATTGCAATTGTCTGCGATTTGGATGAACTCACAAAAGATACAAAGATTCCTAGAGATACACATTGATCAAAAGTCCTTAAATACCCATCAGCTTCTCACAAGTACATATCCACTCCTATCACTCTTAAGGTCTATATGGTGGACCGCCCCACATTGGGGGAACAGATCAACACGAGAAGCCCCAGGCCTTCCTCACACATAGACCATGGCGCAAGAACTCAAAGCCAAGGGCAACGAGCTTTTCAAAGCTGGAGACTATACCGGTGCTGAAGACTTCTTCTCCCAAGCGTAAGTTATCATATCCGACCCCTCCGACGCTTCCGTTCTCCCCAACCCCTCACCTACCTCAACCCCGAAACCGAAGTCGCAAACCCGTTGAAATACCCCGAAACTAACAAAACCCCCTTGCATAGAATCCAAAAGAACCCCCACGATGCAACCTTCTTCACAAACCGCGCGATCACACGGATCAAACTTGCTAAATGGGCCGACGTCGAACATGACGCTCGCGCCGCGATCGAAATCTACGGTCTCAAGAACCCAGTCGCCCTAAAGAGCCATTACTACCTTGCACAGGCCCTCCTAGGCCTCCAGCGCCCACAAGAAGCGCACGACGTCGCGTCCGACGCATACCAACAGAGTCTAGCAGGAAAGAATGCCCAGACGGAGAACCTGTCGCGGATAGTCCTGCGCGCGAAGCAGCAGATCTGGGCTGCGCGGGAGACTTCCCGTGTCCGCGAGCTGAATGAGACGCTGGGTTCTGTGGAAGCGCTCGTTGAGGCTGATGTGACGCGTGCGGTGGCGGAGTTGCAGGGTCGTTTGGAGCGTGGGGAGATTGGGGAGATTGGGTTTGGAGAGGATCAGAAGGCGTTGCGCGAGGATGCGGAGACTAAGGTTCGGAATTTGAGAGAGGCATTTCGAGTTGCTTCCAAGGGAGATATACAAGAAAGGGTATGTTTTGATACTTGGGTTTTGGAGGGAGGTTTGTTGACGTTTGGTTTTAGGTTGTTCCTGACTATCTCATTGATGGGATCACATTTGAGATCATGCATGATCCGGTTATTACACCGTCCGGGGTTAGTTTCGATCGTTTGGGCATCACTAAGTATGTTGAGAAATCGGGCGTCGATCCTTTGACTCGGGCTCCTATTAGTGTTCATGACCTTCGGAGCAATTATGCTCTCAAGGCTGCTTGTGAGGAATTCCTTACAAACAATGGATGGGCGGTAGATTGGTGATCTCTTTGGATTTGTATATTGCCCTCTTTTTCTGGTGCATTAGCGAGTTTCCATATGCATCTGGCGTTTAATAATGAAGTCAGTTTAAGTAAATATAAGCCAAAGCCTCTACTAGCATAACGTACCATACAATGGCCTGACTTGAAACCAACTGGCGAGTGTGTCAGCTACCCCCACTCGTGGACCCCGCCCTCAACCATCAACATTCTCAACATCCTTTGTTCCTGAATTTTACCTCTTCTCTATACTCTACAAAACATACAAAATGTCCGACATTACCCCCTTTATTACCGTCCTGGAGGCTGCCCAGAAGAAAGAAAAGTTCACCCCCGAGGTCCAAGAAGCTGCCGCCGGTATCGACATTGCCGCCCTTAAGGACATCTTCGAGAAGGTCGCCGAGCAGGGCGAGTTCGAGAAGCTCGATGATGCCACCGAGGCCGAGACCCTCCGCAAGGCCTTCGAGTTCGCTGCTAAGGCTGTTATGATGTTGAAGACTTCCCCGGGTCTCTTGGAGAAGAAGGACCTTTACATCTACTTCAAGGTTGGCAGGGGTGACGTTATGGAGAAGCCCGGCATGTTCGATATCCAGGTATGTCCAATTTCAAATTAATTGCGAGCTCGGGAAAACCCTGGACTATAGCACATTCCCTTTGAACAGGGCCGGCAGCTAACAGTGTTTTCTTTGCAACCTTACAGAAGAAGCAGCTCTACGGCGCCTGGGAGAAGGTCAAGGACTACAGCCCCGCCAAGGCTCACCAGCTCTACATCAACTGCGTCAACACCTTCATTACCAAGTACGGCACCCGCGACCAATAGATGATACAATTGGGAGGATTGGTCTGGGAGAATGACCCGCGATCTATCGAAAGATATATTGCCGGGTGAGATTTTGGAAAGACGGTTATCTAAATGAGAAGGGATAATCGTATTATCTCAAAACGCTCAGGACGAATACAAAGAATACAAATGCATGCTACTTTCCATGACCCAGTACTCGCGTACCTTGCAATTCGTGTACTACATATGTGTATGACCAGATAACCATGCGACTCACACCTGTGAACGGCTACGACAAACACTAGGTGTAGCTAAGACTAAATGCAAAGACAGCAGATTCAAACAATCCAGCTCTGCCCCTGCCAGTCCGGCAGAGGATGCGAAGCAGTCGCACACCACGGCTCATCGCCCGCACCATACGGCGTCAACGGAAGATCGTAGGGCATCCGGAACCCGACGACCACAGAAGCCGTATCGGTCCCCTCAGACACAGCAGGACGATCCCGCCTAAAGCAAGGAACCATCAGCGCGTCTGGCGCAGAGGATTCCCTTTCCGCTTGAGATTCAGAGGCAGGTGCAGATGCAGCATCCCCACTACCCCTATCTCGGAAAAGCTCCGGCCAAACAACAACACCAATCTCCCAGCTACAAATGCGCACCTCGCCACTCGCATTCGTCGCTGCACCCCACGCCTGCGTGGACAGATTCGCCGACGACACCATCGCCCAGTCGATAGTCTTCATGTCTGAGTCCGCGAAGCGGATGTAAGTCTTGACGTGTGGTGCTGCACGGGCGCGGCCTGCTTCGCGTCTTGGGGGATCGTCTTCGGATAAGTCGATGCATTGGTCTGGGGGGATGGAGTCGCCTGCCCATTGGCAGAGATACGGACGCATGTATTGGAGTTGTTTCTGTTGAGCTGCGCTTTGGGTTTTCATGTGAATTGAGCCGCCGGAGTTGTAGCCGTTTAAGGAGCGGCGGATCTCGTCTGGGGTTGGGAAGATTATTGAGTAGGTTGTTGGCTGTGGGGTTGGGGTGAGGGCTTTGAAGAAGACGTCTTTGAGCCATTTGTTTGTTTGGCCGAGGGTTGCTACTGAAGAGATCTAGAGTTTGTTAAGGTTTGTCACAGTGTGATGGTTGCTTGGAGATACGTACCTGGATTACTATGTGTGGTTTCTTGCTTGGAGTTTTCTGCTGGATGGGTATTTGGCTCATCAAGTCTTTTAGAGCAAGCCAGCCCCATAGTGTGTCCTCTTCGGAGCTGGAATCACTGGCTTGTCTTTTAGATGGGACACTAGCAATGAGGGCAGCGCGGATAGAGCTGAAGTCATAGCTGTCCAATTGCTGGACTAGCGAGCCTGTCTTTTTAGGTCCATACGCTTTCAGATAAGTGAGGAAATCCCTTTTAAATCGCGCGCCTGAGCCGACTTTTGCGTCTGTCTGACATTCTGCTGAGCCTGCCTTCTGCAGAGGAAGCAGCGGAGAGCGCCAGGCGGCTTGTGTCATATTGGTCCAATCCATAGGAATCATGTTTGCTGTGTGAATAATGACCCTGTGTAGTTATTTAGTCAGACCTATATCGGGATATAGCAACCAATGATCTCGGGAATAACCTTACTGGGCTAGGTCATCATGCCGAAGAAGAATCATCATCTTGGAATGATGTGTCCCGAAAGGCTCCGGCATATAGGCGACAATAGGCTCAACATTAGGATACCGCGAAGATGTTTCCTAGTAGCAGATTAGTCTTATGCCACTTCAATCACTCAACCAGTGATAAGATGTAATCAAATAGGCGAAGTCAACCCGATTGAAACAAGTCTCACCAATGCAACTTACCTCAATTCGAATCCGATTCGAATCCTCTCTCCGCCATGAACCATGCACAACCTTGACTTTCACCAGAGCCCGGACATCCTCGTCGAACTGTGCCATGAGGAAATCTACATCGAACAGGAAATTAAACTGCCAGCATTCGCGGATCATGGGATCGCCGAGAATGTCGCGTAGTCGGATGGTGTCGACATTGTTACCATTGGGTAAATCGCGAATATGGGTAAGTGATACTGGCGAATTGATGCAGGCAGGGCAAGGAGTGCCTCCAGGGCTATTAGTCGATTCACCACCACTCAGTCGGGGACAGCCTCGTGGCAAAGGTGGACTAATGGCTCTGCTTAAAGACGTCAAGGGTGTAGTTGCCGAGTCATTATCGGAATCTGAGGATATTCTGACTCTTTTTGAGGGGCGCTCCATGTAAATTTTTCTATGAGGGTGGTTGAGTTGATGGAGGTTGAAAAGGCGGTCGAGATGGGCGATCATGAGAGATGAGCACGAGTATTGAAAGGCTTCAACTGTTTACATCAAATGTTATACCACACTTTTTTGTTACATCTAATATCTGCATTTTCCATCATTTTCACAATTCCAGCTGCTTTTCAGTCTCAAAGTATTGACCACTAATTTTTATTCAATTTATACAATTTCATTGCTCATCCTCATACAGAATTCCCAGCTCTAACACAACTTAATTGCTAACCGCAAGCTTCTTTATCTCCTCCACAACCGCATCAGTAACCTGCTTCGTCGTGGCATTACCACCCAAGTCACGGGTAAGAACTCCCTGCTCACAGACATTCTCGACACAAACCAACAGCTGCTTGGAAGCCTCCTCCTCGCCGAGCCAAGCAAGCATCTCCGCGGCCGTCCAAAATGTAGCCACGGGATTGGAAATACCCATACCCGTGATATCGAAAGCGGAGCCGTGAATGGGCTCGAACATACTAGGATACTCCCGCGTAGGGTCGAGGTTAGAGGTAGGCGCGATACCAATAGATCCAGCCAGAGAGGCAGCAAGATCAGAGAGAATATCAGCGTGCTAGTTGATCGTCAGTCCAAGACCTAGTTATACATCATTTCTTATTTCGACAACTCACCAAATTGGTTGCAACAATGGTATCCAGACTCTCGGGCTTCAGAACCATGCGAGTAGTCATAGCATCAACAAGCATCTTGTCCACAGTAACGTCGGGGAAATCAACAGCAACAAGCTTCGCCACTTCATCCCAGAGAACCATACCGTTGCGCTGCGCATTACTCTTAGTAACCACAGTCAACAGCTTGCGCGGCCGCTTTTGCGCAGTCTCAAAGGCAAACCGCATAATTCTCTCCACACCATGACGGGAGAAGATAGAAACCTCAGTCGCAACCTCCCATGGCTTTCCGGCGTGGGAGCGACCACCCTGGCCCGCATACTCTCCCTCGCTGTTCTCACGGATGATCACCCAGTCAAGGTCGTTGGGCCCGCACTTGCGCAACGGGGACTCAGTGCCGCGGAACACCCGTGTTGGGCGCACGTTCGCGTATTGCTGGAACGGCTGGCAGATGGCGAGTCTCAGACCCCATAGGGAAATGTGATCGGGGACGTCTTCTCGCGTGTTAGTATTCCGTCTTCAAGACATTGTTTACGTCTGCTTACCAGGAGCGCCAACGGCGCCGAAGAAAATCGCGTCGTGCTTCTTGAGCTCCTCGAGTCCACCGTCGGGGATGTATTTGCCGGTCTTCTTGTAGGTCTCGGAGCTCCAATCATAGTTCTTGAACTCCAACTTGAAGGTCTTGAGGGTATCGGTCAAGGCATTCAGAGCTGTGATACCAGCACTGATTACCTCTGGGCCAATTCCATCGGCTGGGATGGATGCGATACTGTAGGTCTTTTGGCTAGCAGACATGATGATGCTGTGGTAAAGTTCTTGTTGGGGGTGATTGAGGGAAGTTGACAGAGGACAAACTCAGCGCGTACGAGAGCCTTTAAAAAGAAATCAGGTCCAAATTCTCAAGTTTCAGTCTCCACATGCAATCTTCCCATAGACCTATCGCATAGCCCCTCATCGCGAGCCTATTCGACTATAATTGTCGCGGGGTGCAGACGGAGATTCAAATGCCCGGGTTGGGCTATACGCAAGGCCCCACTCGGAGAAAGACATGTCCGCGTGGCGAACAACCCTGATTTGTACCAGTGAGCTGAATTAGAAGCGTTGGGGACATTTTTGGTGTAGAAGTTGACTATTACAAATGATTCATATAAATTATGTATCGGAAATCACAAAAAGTTATTGTGAATCATCCATGGGCCATCAGCCACGCTCCATAAATCGTTCATGAGCATAGATGATGAAAATGGCAAAGAGTCTTGACCAGCAAAACTCGGATTAAAAGTAGGGTTTCCGTCAGCCATGTTGCCGAAAATTAGACCAGCTGAAGACTGTCCATTGAGATAGTTCTCAGCAGGATCTAGCGCTTCGGCAAAGTTACCGATATTATCAGACGGTGAAAAAACGGCAGGGTCGTAGTTTTCGGATGGCCCAAGGCCTTGGGCAGGGGAGCGAATTGATGATTGAAACGGATGAATTCCGGTAGAGACTGAACGGCCTTGGTATCCATTTGACGCTAAAGTTTGAGGTCGAATGGGTGTGAGACCTGTACCGTCAATCTCATTATTTCCATCCTGGACCGGCAGCATTCGTGATATCCGTTTATTCATGGATGGTGTAGCTTGGGCATGGGGTTGAGTCAATCTCCCTGTGCCGTTCAATGTGGCAGTAGCCTTGCCTTGTTGGCCACTAGGTGCCTGTGTCTCGAAAGCAGACTCCATGCCTTTGATCGCCTCGATGCAAGTCTCTGGCCAGCTGCTACCGCGCAATGATAGGTTTTCCAAAATGGTAATCCCCATTCTCGCATATTTGAGAGCAGTCGGTGTGGAGAATTCCTCTTCCCACGCAGCATACATCAGAATCAGACAGGCCATCCAAGTTGACCATGTAAAGCCTGGCCAGGAGAGCGGAGATTTCGGCTCAGAAGACATGTGCTTTTTGAGAGCCGCAAGTATAGATCGAGAGGATCCAATACAAGTCTGCAAGGCATTCTTGTAGTCTGCACTGGGCTTCTCGGAGGCTAAAAGAGGTCGGTTGAGCGAGATGATAGCTTCGTGTCTCAGGATCATCAGGAGTAGCCGGTGATATGGCTGCAAGATCGGCTCTTGCTCTAGACCAGGTTCTTCCGGCTCACCAATGGGGTTTACATCGTCATAAACTTCATTCCACCATTGCGCTAGTTCTCCAGTAACATGAGCCGCTTCAACCTGGCTAGCGTGACTGTGGAGAATGGACTTATTACGAAGTTCAACAATCAAACCTCGAATCCGTGCAAATTTCGCAAGGTGGCACAGCAAGTGCAATCTGCGATCTTCAGAGCATTTGGCAGTTGTTGAAGAATGTCTCTCGGCACCGGGGTAGCACACATCGATATCGTCATCTCGAATAGAGAGCGGAATGCCAAGGGCTTGAGAAAGATATCTTTCGAGGGTATAAATCGACCAGAATAGTCGACAACGGATATCGGCTTCTTCGCTGCTAAAGCAAGAAAATCGTCTTGGGCAACGATGCAACCCGAGGTGGAATGCAGTGCGGGTGATGACACCCCCTACCCGCGAGGCGGCATTCAGGCGCAAAAGAGACGTGAGTGCAAGTTGAGCAGTAAATGCAGCTTGTAGCAGTGGCAAGCTAGTTGGCTGTTCAAGGAGACTTTGTACATCTTGCATCACATGCTGAATGGATCGAAAGACCAAGGCTGAAGGAACGGGACTGAGCTTCGACCCAGACGTTTTCTGTCGATTATCACCGAGAGAAATAGACACAATGGAGCGGAGGATCATCAGTTCTAGTCGGTTGACCGATTCCGTCCCTTTTTGGCTGACTGTCTCTATGGTTTTCAAGACTGTCGGGGCGTGGAGGCATGGGAATATTGGATGCCAATTCTCGAAATAGCTGCGTGTCCACTTAACAAGATCGTCGAAAGCAAACGAGGTACTTGGTGCATAATTTAACTCCTCCCTTGCCCACAGCTCATCCGAGCTTTGAATGCTTCCTGAATTTTGCTGTAGCCGATCGTCTTCCCCTGGCACCGATGTTCTGTCACGGGCTCGTGATTGGTCCAAGTCTGCTGAACGACGTGCGAAGGCATGGTAAACATGACGGATAAAATGAATTCCACTTGAACTTCCAAGGAATGTCGCAGTTCCGTCATTCTGAGACTCTCTCATAAATCCAATCTCGCGAGGCGAGGGTCCTGAGGTACCCATGGTGGAGGTGCGTTTGCGCCTCTTGGTTGCACGAGAAGAATATGGCCATTCGGACTCATTTTCCTCGAAGCACATGCTGGCAGGTGAAGCTGAAGCCATTATCACTGTTATTTATGTATCACATTTTTTGACATTGAGATATTCAGAGTCAAGTTCCACTTGGAAGAAATCCGGCCTCGTAGTTATTTATTACGTCAGCGGAAGGTGGCCCCGGCCCCGGGTGGCCCTAGCCATCACCAGATCTATAAAATTGAAAAATTGTATCGAAGACGATATGATTTCGATTCCATTCTTTATAAAAATCTTTGGAGGAATATACATTAGTTTCTACTTCTATGAGTCTCATTCCCAACTTTCTCTAAAAGGCACCCTTTCCGGGAGTGCTGTCACCCTTCAAAGCAGCACATCCCTGCTCGACATCCTCAGGTCGGAGCAACTGGCTATTGGAACCCTCCGTGTAGGCAAGTCCAACCAGTGTTTTCTCTGTTGGATAGTTAGACATCTGCAGCTTAAAAAAAAGTTGATCGGAAACCTACCATTAGGATTGTATCGGGGCCATCCGAACTTAGTCAAGCCCTCTTGAGGATCACTCGCAAATGCAACCCAGGCGGAAGCCATGTACCGGGCAAATTCATTCTCCCGGTCGCTGTTTGGAATTCCGCTGACATGCTCTCCAGTTCCGAACACCATAGGCAGGTCGGCACCGTGGTAGCTTCCGCTGTTAGGGTGCAAACGCAGGTTGTCCCAGTCGCCGAAGTAGTGGGACTGCCAGACCGGAACGTTGTTGTCAACTCGATATCTTGCGGACGCACCACTAGGGCAAGTGAAAGCCGCATCATTGAAAGTCTGCCATGCGGCATCACTGAGAGTGATATTTGCGTTAAACGCGCTGATGCGATAGTAGCCAGGTTCGTAATGGTTGCTGTTGATCAAATAAGGCTGCGACAGGTTAGTATTCTTGCTGAAGATGGACTCAACTATACGATGTTTACTTACCAGACGTGCGAATTGGCCTGCAGCAGATCGCTCGGCATAGTTGCCAAACACGGTAATTCCATCCACTGTCGGATGGAACACTGCCTGTGGAGTGGCTGGTGAAGGTGCGGGCGGGACCTTGCCGCCCGCCTTGACGACGTCGGAGAACGGCTTCTGGCGAACACACTTGACAACCTCTTCGGGGTCACTGGTCTGGTCTCCGCAACCGAGAATCTTGGAAGCAGTGTAAAAGTAACTGGCGGACTCTTCAGCAGTGTTAGGCACAAAGCTAAGCGAAGTTCCAGAGTGCGAGATGAGACCGGCAACAAGGGGATCCTTTGCCCAGGCTTGTGAGTAATAGTCAACAGCAGAGCCACCAGCAGACTGGCCGAAGATTGTGATGCGCTTTGGGTCTCCACCAAACGCGGCGATATTTTGATGGGCCCATTCCACTGCCATACGTTGATCCAGCAGTCCGACGTTTTGGGGAAGATTGGGTGCACCAGAGAAACCAAAGATATTCAATCGGTAGCTGGTATTAATTAGTAAGGATATGCAAATGCAAGGTGAAGAGTACTGACTTGATGGTGACTACCACCACATCATGTTCATCGGCCAAGGCTTGTCCATCATAGTATGGATTGTTGGCGCCACCTCCGGTGAAACCTTCAAGAAATGTCAATCATTTGAAAACAAAAGAGTCGAGGTGAACATACGACCCCCATGGAACCATAGCAGAACTGGTTTCAAGTTGGAGACCGTGGGACGGGTCCACACATTCAAGAAAAGACAGTCTTCGCTCTGGGAAGTACCCAAAGCCTGGGTAAACGACTTCACAATTTTGGGAGCCTGGGGTGTAAAGCCAGGATAATCTGGAACTGAGCCGGCATTTGCAGGACAATCACTAATTTTGATCAGATATCTTCAACACCATAGTAGGGACATAATATACGCACGGGCTCTGTTGGTGATACGGTTAGCCACATATACCACGAAGCGAAGGGAGAGATCTTACATAGGCAGTTGCTTGAATGGTGCCATTGGCATCATAAGCCACCGGAGCCGCAAATCGGAGATTTCCAATTGGCGCCGAAGCATAGGGAATACCCAAGTACTCAGAGACCGCAGGCCTGCGAGGGGCAGCGTGCCCCTCAATCAGCCCACTGCTGGTCACTACGGAGTCACCGATGTGATTTTCTGGGTGACCTGGACATTGCTGTCCCCAGACTGTGGGGAGGCACGTAGCCAGCAACAGTGCAGATCCAATTGGATTCCAACCCGCCTTCATTTTTGAACTTAGCAACGAAAGTGAGGAAAAAGGGCCAGGGCTGTGGAAATTCACAAAGACATATAACGTTCGTGTATATCATATAGTGGAGCTCATCTATATTGTCAGGGGTTCCGAATGTTCCGTGTTCGCTAAGTCGCGGTGGGATCGCTGATCGTGGCTTGAATTGGGCGAACAGGGGAGTGCATTGGCAATATACACAAGCTGAGTAGCTTAGGAGATGGGAACCACAATAATCCTTGGCGACTAATGCGGAAGTTTGACATGACGATCTTCGTGTAGACCTGCTAGATGAAGCGCTATTTTTCTTATGGTATACCATAACCAGTATATAATGTAACTATATTGTATATTAGATTCCGATTTGCCAAGAGATCTCTTGTCAAGTCATATCTTCAGATTTATAGGGTATGGACACCCTTATCCACAGACTATTTCGACATCCCTGCACGCCATGTGGAGAGTTTAAATTTTATAGATTAAAAACAATTTGAACAATGCGTGTTCTTCACTTTCCTGGGTTCTTTTTTCTTTAGGCATCTCCACGTGGAAAATGCATTGTTATCTTGCAAAGGATTTTGTGCCCTAACCAAATATATACTCGATCTACATCATGTGTGTTCATATACCCACAAAAATAACCTATAGGAATATTCTCGATTATCGCGTTTCTCCAACTCCTGCCAAGTTTGGATTAAATCCTTCTTGATTCGCTCCGGGGCTGAAACCATCAATATGGATGCTGCACATAATTACATTGCTCCTACTTCAATACCACCAATCTAAGTTCATATCTTTCTCTTCCTGTCTCCCGAGGTCCGCTTAAGGGGCCAAGACGATAATATACTATCTAAGCGAAAATTTGCCTCGAACTTCGTGGGGCAACCTGTATTGGAAGATGTGATCGTCGGGGAGGGCCACAAGTCTTGAGTTATCATAAAGAATCATGCTTGTTCCCTTCTCTGTCGCAAATTTGCACTAGCCAAATCAACGTGCCATGACCTACGAAATTGGATTGAGCACACCTGATGTGCCTAATCGAGGGTTTCCGCTATGGATATGTAGTGTTGTGATGGTAATTATAGCCGGTCTCTTCGTTTTATCTAGACTGGCTATTCGATTCCATCACAGCCATTTAGGATCAGATGATTGGATGATTTTGGCATCGCTGGTGGGTGATCTTCGAATAATTGAGGATTAGAATCAGAACATTGACACATGGCAGATATGCTCAATTGTTCTCACGGTGACCGAGTGCTCTGGTAGGTTATGCTCCCATCGATCTTGGTCCGCAGAACTCTTATTAACTCAAAACTAGCGGTACACTATGGATATGGAAAACATTCCAAAGATCTCACGCAAAATGATCGAGTGGCTGCACTCAAGTGGTTCTTTGGCGCCCAGCTCGTATACAAGATTGTCATTGCTGTCAACAAACTCTCCTTCATGTGCCTATACCTTCGAATCTTTCCCCAGCGCACCTTCCGGTGGATTTGCTATTATGGGCTGGGGGTTATCACTGTCTGGGGCACAGCATACGTCTTCCTCACCATCTTCCAATGCAAGCCCATCGCTTCGTTCTGGGATATCACTATCAAGAACCCAAAATGTCTGGACAAAGAGGGGTTGTGGATGTCTTATTCAGTCATCAACATTACATTTGACCTGCTCATTCTCGCCCTGCCTATATACCCCTTGAGTCATCTACGGCTGCAACGGGCGAAGAAGATTGGTCTCCTCGTGGTCTTCGGAATGGGAGCATTGTAAGTGCAGGTTCCTTTTATATCTCTGACAAACTGCTCATACATCTAGTGTCTGCGTCACAACGATCATCCGAATCACCACCCTTGTCCAATCTGCCACTGACACGGATCCGACTAGTGAGTTTCGCTTCTCGCCAATACCATTCACATAGTAGATATAAACTGACATCATAACAGGCGGTCCTATCCCAGCGACCATCTGGAGCGTGGTTGAAGCAAACACTGGTATTATCTGCACCTGTCTACCAGTCTTCCGACATCCGCTCCAGTTCTTCTTCCCGCATCTCTTCAACTCCTCTGAGCAAACCACCAATCCGTATAGTCAACATGTGGCACGTCATACGCCGCATGCGAGTGGGTCCGAAAGAAACCTCACCCATGATGATTTATGGCAGGATGAAGGCCTGGAGATGGCAAGCCCGGAGATTTACAAGGCGGATGCCAATGGTAGAATCATGACAACGACACGCATAAACGTCTCATATCAACAGGACCAAGAATCGGATGCGTCATCACGACCAATCCGTAGAGATTTTGACTGACATGTCGATTCATTTCACTCAATCGAAATAAAAGCACAATCAATATATATTTTTTATACTTATTAGTGTCCTGCGTTTCATGGTAGACTGAAGACATGGTGGACATCACGTGCCTGCCAATTATGCCCGGAGGTTTCTTACTCCGAAACTTCCACCAAGCAGCATCAACCATGCACATGACGTTGATAGCCTGACATCTTGCATGTCTTCGGGAGTTACACTGCATTTTGCATTGCATAACCCTGTAATTCAACAAATGGCGCAATTGCGATCGAAGCGGAAGGCACCTGGTGCCATGCCAGGTGTGACCAAATAATACCCCACAAAAAGTATAGACCGACTGACTCGAGATGTCATCAGAAGAGAACCTGAATCCGATTTCTTGTGAGCTATGCAGACAACGGAAATGCAAAGTATGTTATAATTTTGTAAAGAACAGCTCCGGAGCAAGACAAGTGCTGACCAGCAAAATAGTGTGATCGCAGACTGTAAGATCAAAAACGCTTTCACCGTTTAGTTCAATGGCTGGGCTTATTTCTAATTGCATCTCGTTAAGTCCGTTCTGTTCTCAATGCGCAGGGGAAACATCAAAATGTACCTACCCCGAGAGTGGTAAAAGGCAAGTATCCAGCCTACATATATATGCAGGTACCCGCGGGAAGCTAACTCATTGGCTCAGGGGCTTACCGTTGGGGTATTTGAATCAATTGGAACAGAGACTGGCAGAGACCGAGTCAGCCCTTTACGGGGCTTTGATGACCATTCGTTCGATGGGACAACCAATAACGGTACAAATACCAGCAAAGACGGATACTACCCTTAAACACAAGGCAGCTCGCATGGAAGAGTGGTCTCACCTGGCCCTTCAAGATTGGGCCGGTATGGAGCGTTGGCTGACCGCCATGTCGGATCGGTTTACCATTGAGCAGCCAAGTGACGTGGTTCCAGACACATCGGGTGGCTACACGATTCCTATGAGTCCTACTCACGATGAATCGCAGACCCTGGGAGACCAGCCTCATTCCAGACTAGTCTCATATGCATGGCCACCCAGGGACAACAGGGTCACTTCAGGGAGTTCATACGATGCGCCTCAGCCCCACCCTGGGGTGATGCCTTCGCCGGTATATTTTGAACAGGCGGTGGAACCCGAACCCGTGCCGTCTCCAGGTAGTTCTCGAGATGGAATGATTGATGACGAGGATGCCGGTGTCTCGGTGGATGTAAATGCATCTGTAAGAGCTAGGGTGGAGACGGGGCCGAGCAAAGCTGAGGAGCTGTCACACAATAATCCGAGTCTTTACTTTTAAAATGAGGTGTTTCAAACGTACAATAACACTAATATCGAGACCTCGCCTCTTTCCCGATGAAGCTTGGACTCCTTATCTGTAACGGGCTAAGTGCAGATCATAAATGCCTGAGGCTTTAATTTTGTAGTCACCACATCACGTGTTCCTGGGTCATTATGTAACATTTCCAAGAGGCCTCGGGATCAAAACACCAGAATGGCTTTGTCGAGTGAAAGAAAAGCTAAGTTCAAATACAGCAAGGAGCAGTTTACTTCGTACAATCTATGTACAATATATTGCATGCAACCTTCATTATATCTTAGGACCCTAGCAGGGTTCAACTCCACTCCACACAAATTTCAGTGGAGTCTGAGATGAAGGGCTTTAAGAATTTAAACACCAATACTCCACAGAAAATCCACCAGTCCACTCAGATAACGAGCATCATCTCGGTGATCTGGAAGTTCTCCAACCTCCCCGGACTCGATCATCTGCAAGCGCTCGCAACAAGACCCCTTGAGTTCTTCCAGTTGAACCCTCTGATTGGACCCTCTACTTGCCTGAATTCGAGCCAAACGGGTCACGGAGCACAGACTACTTTGAGCGTGGAACGGATACAAGTGGTTGATGAAACGCCCGTGCCTTCAGACTAAGAGCCCGGACCTGCATCCGTTTCAATTAGATTATTCTCGGGGTATTATCGCGTCACGCTGTATGGGTCATTTTTTTCCAACGGATGATATTCAGTATTCACGTGCACTTGCAGACTTCAAGGGTCTGGAATGACAACGCAGATGGGACACATCGAACACGTACACGTTGACCCCTCCATACCCAGGCACATATCCGAACCCTGGAAGATGACCTTGGAAGATGGGCCTGGAATCGGGGATACGGGACCCCTTCTAAAAGCGACTAAATATAGGTGTAGTCCATATATCCTGGAAGGAGGCAAATAGTCAAAGTTTGGATGAACCACTCTGATCAGGAACACTGGGCCCTTGATATCCAGGGGACTGAGTTCTGTTGGGCTCCATCCTTTAGCCTCCCACTGGTCCATCTGGTCAAACACTGGTGTAGCGCCCAAAATCCCCGTCAGCCCGTAAGGAGGACCGGCCCCCCCCCCTCTCTTTCTTCTTCCAACCTCCTTGGGATTGTGTGTGTCTTTGTTCCTTCATTCTCTCCTTATTCTTCAATTCTTTTAGTCCGAGATACAAAGTGATCTGAGATCCTGGACTCCTTTCTATTCTTTCCTTTTTTTTGAACCTGTGCGCCACAATTCCTTAACAAAAGGACTGTTATTTCCCTCTATATTTTGCTGTGCAAAATCATAGGGCTCGACATTCATTTTTGTGATTTGCAATAAGAAGTTGAAATTCAAACACACCCATCGATCTGATACTGGACATTCCAGTTGATCTAACATTCTTTCACCCCGCGATTGTCTTACCACGCCAGACTCAAATACGGATCCGATCGCAAAAGAGCGACCAGATTTAAAAATAAAATCTCACACATTGCATGTGTGAATTTATAAATCGAATCCCGACCGCGTTGAAACGCACCGTTGCCATATTTTGAACTTGACCAAATCTCCGAAACCCGTTATGTCGAACCTCAGCAGAGCATTCACCCGGCGCAATAAGCGCCCGGAGGTGTCCGCACCTATGCCATATCGTGGCGAAGGGCACGTGCGTCTCAACTCGGCAAGCATAAAGCGCATCAATATTTCCGGACCTGTACAGTTGTTGTCCACGACCAACATGCTAGCCTACAACGCACCTGATATCAACCCAGTCAAATCAGCCGGCTCTTCATCTGCCTCATCACTAGGATCGCGCGACGACTCTGACAATGCTTTCTCCCCGCAAAGCTACGCGTCTTCAATGTCTTCACCCGACATCTCTCCTCACGGGAGCTCTCCAACTGACGCAAACCCAATGGCGTCGTATTTCCCGAAGCGCACGGGCACGGTGACAAGCCACCCGCGCTCCTCCACCTCGTCTTCGTCAACTGCGGATGCTCCACTGGTGCCTAAGCGGGCTCTGTCCCACACCAAGCGGTCACACCAGGAGCTCGCTCACTCGCGCTCGATCTCTAGGATGTCGCCACCTCCGCTGAACGCAACGCGCAGCACACCGACCATTCGTGCATCACAGGAATTCTTCCAGGCCGAGCCGCATCCATTCGGCAAAGAGCTAGAGCAGGTGAACGAGGTTGCAGAGGAATTTGGAGGCTTCAATATGCTCGATGACGAAGAGCGGATTCTCTATTCCAAGGGGCTCAAGAAGTTCTCTGTCGAAGATTATCTTGTGGAAGTTGAAGAACTGTACGGCAGCATTTTCGAGGACACACGTGGACCTATGTGTACATCTTGGTTCTAATGTAATTGCTGCCCCCCGGTTGACCCGGGGTCAACGACCCGAGATTGCGGACTTGCAAGGACTGGATATTCCTTCGCCCGCCACGACAACCAACTATTATTCTTTCATTTACGACTATTGCCCCTTGTTTTACGATACCATGGGAGGACCTTCTGTTCCCGCGCTCAATTCTGATTTTTGAATTTATTCCTTTCCTCCCGTAATAGACGGTTTCTTTTTTATCGGCATTCATTTCTGTATCATTTGGGGTCAACTTCTTCATATCCTTTGAGGCCCAAAGTCTTTGTGAAGATTTTGGGGGTCTTTGAGGTCACTTTTGGGGTGTCTCATGTGGAGTCTCATTGATGTTTCATTCGGAGTCTTGAATATATTCCAATCAACACGTTGGGAAGTGTCTTCAACAGCCAAGAAGGCAAAATGTAGAGGATGATGTATAAAAGATGACAGTGAGCACACGATGACATAAGTCAATATTACCTAATTAGGCATAGCGTAGGGCTCACCGACACGGTCACGGGTGCTCCGCTGGGCTCCACAAGTGACCGAAGGAAAAGAAGGAAAAATTTCGCTTTACTTTGGCTTTGGAATCCAGCAACTCGACCATTCTGTCTGCATCCGATTTTATCTATCTCAAGAAACTGGACCCTCACGGATGCAGACAGACTGTTGCACTTTCCTCTTATTCCAATCTGTAGCATAAGCCCCAAGATCTCGACGTGAAAAAGTGTCGTGTGCTTGGACCAGGTTTTGATAAACTCCGACATTGAATCGGAAGTCCACTGGATTTGGTTTCTGCCAGAGAGCAGAGAAGCAAATGTCGACACTGGTTTCTGCCTAGAACTTGTCCTACACCTCTTCTTCCGCACCTTCGGCCATGGTCTCCCTTGCTACGACTTCACGCAAACCGGCGCTACAGGCCACACCTGCGCTATCTCGATCCAAAATGCTTCCGACTACCTCCCCAGTCCCGATTCTCAAGACCTCGAAAGCACCTCCCGTGGTCGCCGGCTCGAAACGCAAAATGAGCGAAATGGACCTCCCCCCTCCCCTTCCTCGTCCCAGGCCGATGACGCGACAGAAGACCTTCCTCCCACCAAGAAGCGAGCCCGCGTGCAGTTTGATCAAGATGTGACGATACATGATGCTAGCTCGTCAGAGAAGAGCCTGGCAGTCATTCGGGAGGAGGTCCGCGGGGCTATTCACCGCCATGTCACAATGTCAGAAAGCGAGGGCTACGACCGAATCAAGGGAATTTTTTCAGCCGATCCAAAAAAGCAAGGCGACGACAGCCTACTTGCATATGAATCGCCAACGCACACATCTTTGAGGAACCACTTGCTTGGTCTAATTTCGCATGTCGCCTCCTTGGACCGCTCCTGCAGCGGGTTGGTCCATGCTATCATCAACAGCGAGTGGCTTGGACGGGACGAATCCTACGTCAAGCTATACACCCGGTTCCTGGGCAACCTTGCCGCCGCACAGGGTACCTTCCTGGGTCCTGTCTTAAAGATGTTGGCCACCAATCTCGGGTCCATCCCTCGAGGACTCGGTCGACTGCCGGGTTATGCCGTTGTGTCACCATCCGAAATGCACACTCGCGTCCATATGGCATTGCGCCATGTGCTGCGACTCATCCCGGCTGGTAGTGGATCACTCTCCCCGATTTTGTCTACCCAGTTTCCCATCGACTCAGATCTAGCTAGCGCGAACATCGCCTACACCCGAAATCTTATCCAAATCATCACCTACGCGCCCGAGCTTCAATCTGACATCCTCTCTCTTATCACCGAAAAGCTTGTCAAGGTCGATGTTGAAATCCAGGTTGATATGGAGGACTTGGAAGAGGATGTCGGCGATGATGTCTTGCAAGCTGATGATGAGGAGATTGATGATGATGCCTCCTCAGTTGCCAGCGATGAATCAGATGATGACGACACCAAGGGGGCCAAGAAGATCAAGGACAACATTTCGAAAGTGGATGGGATGATTGATATCCTCTTTGAATACTTTTCGCCCCCGTTCACCTCGGGCACCCTGGATGATCAGGAGAATGCGTTGGATCTCCTCCTCAGCCACTTCCAAACTATCATTCTTCCTACATACCGATCCCGTCACTCCCAGTTCCTCTTGTTCCATTTCTCCCAGGTCTCGCCCGTGCTTGTCGATCGCTTTGCATCCACATTTGTGCAGCTTATCTTCAACAAGCTGCAGCCTGGCATCCTGCGCCAGTCAGCAGCCGCATACCTGGCCAGCTTTGTTGCACGTGGTGCCCACATCTCTGGAGAAGTGGTCCGCGACGTCTTCGATCTCCTCCTCACACACCTCAACAGCCTACGCATGGACTACGAGGACAGCTGCCGCGGTCCAGATCTCCGTCGCTACGGACCTTTCTACTCCACCGCTCAGGCCCTGCTGTATATCTTCTGTTTCCGGTGGCGCGATCTGACGACCGCTGCCATCGATGGTGATAATGCGGACCAGGTGGACGAACTTGAGCCGGGCCAGATAGCATTCCCTCCCACCATCAAAGAGTTCCTTCACAAATGTATCTATTCGCGACTGAACCCGCTCAAGGTCTGCTCCCCGGCCATTGTCGCCGAGTTCGCCCGCATCGCCCACCACTTCCAATTCCTATACGTCTACCCTCTCCTGGAGACCAACAAGCGCATTCGTGTCACTGCCTTCAGGAGCCTTTCTACTCTCTCAGACCCTCGCTTCAGCCACGTCGGCCGCGAGATCCGTGCCGGCGATAACATCGGTTATCAACTAGATGCATACTTCCCCTTCGATCCCTACCAACTTCCTCGCAGCCGTCGCTGGTTAGAAGGCGACTACGTTGAGTGGCGCGGCATTCCTGGTCTTGACGACGCAAACGAGTCAGACAGTGGAGCTGATGAGTCCGACGATGAATCCGGCGACGATGCCACCGAGACTGATGACGAGTGAATTGGACACTATCTCTTTTTCTCGAATCGGGACTTGATCTTTGGTTCGATTTTTTTGTTACTTCAGCGTGGCGTCCGGGATTTCCACCAATATTTGCGATCTTATGATCTTGTTTTTTTTTTCACAAAAAGTTCCCGATACCTTACGACTGATGATATCGTTCTTGAGCACGGAACTATCCGGTGGAATCCCTGGAAAACTTCTGCCTCGTGTACTACCATAGTGCTGATGAATCTAGCTGTTCAAAAAATGGGAAATAATTACATGAAATTTCGTGAACTCTTCTAACGCTCTAAAAAACAACTGCCTTAATATCACATGGCTCTGCATTAATTGTACATGAATATCCCTCATATCTCACCTCCATTTTGATTCTTCCAACTGCCGGCATAATGATGCTGGACCAATGCAGGACCAGTCGTCTCATTGCCGTAGGAATTCGTCAACGCAGCAAATGAATACCCCGGCAAGATCAAAACATCCTCGACCAAAACGGGCTCTAACAGGTTCGAGATACTCGGCATATCGATCGCTTCATTGCGAACCAATTCCAAACTCTTCAAAATCCCCCGAGTCAACCGTCTCGGCCCCGTAAAGTCAATCACACTCCCCGTCATCTCCAAAGTCAACCCAGAAACCGGAACCCCATACTCCTCCGTCTTCTGACGAATCCCATCCATAATATCATTGATAACCATCAAAAGATGCGATGACCCCGGCGCCGCCATAATCGCCCAACTCTCAAACTGCCGCGTGAAACTCTGGCCCCAGCCAACATCAAACTCCCACCCAACAACAAGCCCAGCTTTCGCGCGCATTGTCTCGGGGATCCATTCTCTAATGGGCACATCACCACACGAGACATCAAGATCAAACCAGATGCCACCTTCAGTGAAGAGAATCAGATAGCGCAGGAGATCGGCTTTTAAGATCGGCACCGCGAGAGCAAGGTATGCGGCGATGATATCGGGACGATGGGCGAAGTTTTCTTGCACGTATTCGTCGCCTGTGAGGTCTGTGAAGATCCGCGCACTATGAGCTGGGTTTTTGTGGAGACATTCGTCCAGCCATTCGTGTGACTGGTCGCTCAATCCTTTGGGTCCAACTTTGTACCAGATCCTCTCTGGGATCCGCGGCGAGGCCATTTGGAGACTGTCTGTTGATGGATCATATGTAGAATAGCTTTCTGGTGTTGCTAGTCTCCCAGGGTAGAAATAGAGGATGAAAAAGAGACATGATAGGATCACTATGCTTGTCGTTGAGAATTTTGTGAATGTCGGCCCCTGAGCGAGCATGGCGACGGTGTAGATGAAGACTGTCGTCAAAGGAAATGATACATGTAGTATATATGCTGTACACTGAAAGTGCTATAGGTTTGGTGGGTTACTGAGGGGAGATCTCCATCGCGATATTGCTTTCCCCTGAACGTGTTTTTTTTTTCCCCAACCCTATTTTTAAATGAGACCTCTTATAAAGAGCCCCCAATCGTCCAATTAAGCGACAAAAGCAGGGGAACCTGGTATTTTCGTTACTATTGGCCAGATAAGCAAAAAAGGAAATTGGCTTATCCCGAGAGGTCCACTGAATCCAGACCCTTATTCTCTTTTTCGACTAGCGTTTTTGAGGGGGTTCTTCTCTATAACTATTCTATGCCTTGCTTCTAAATGACAAATTGCTTTCTATTGTTACGGAGTACTTTGAACATAAGAACTTTCTGTTCCACGTTTCGTTTAACTCGGTAACTATGGAGCTATAGAAGTGGACCAAGACGGGAAGGGAAGTACATAGAAGATATGTGGGAACAAAAATAAGATGCCAAAACTTGCTGTGCATAATTCATAGGCATTATACTAAACTAAAGACAAAATATTGCTTCAAAGAGTTGCTTGCTCATCCTAGGTACATCTCCAAAGGGAAATCATGATACATCTGGTAATTCAAGTCAATACTCCACTCCAACACGAAGCACTTGACAAGAGCAACGACAGTCATCGGGTCAAGAATCGGAGAAGCAGATTCGGGAGTCGCATCCCTCCAAAATCTCGTCTCATCGAGCACTGAAATTGGACTGCCCGACAAAACTGCTGCTATATCAGTCACGATTCTGACGATATCTCCTGAATTCCCCTGGCCCGCCATAACAGCGCTTGCTGCCATGGCTGCCATGTCTTCCCTGACAAACCGCAGATCCCATCCCCTGGCTTCCAATCTTTCCGGCCATTTCGCTACCGCAAGTCGGAGTGTCTCTGCCAATCGGTTTCGGTACTGGTCCATCCTTTCTTTTGCAAAAGCAACGAGGATATCACGCAGACCTCGATGGATTGACCATGACAGAAATGTCCAAGGTAGTTTATCCAAGGCTTCATTGAGAATATCCGATTCTCGCTCCGGGACGTATAAAGTCACATCACGCACGCCGGAGTCTTTGTTCGGCAGGTAAAGAATCACCATGTCTTCTGATGATTCTATCTCTGTGCTCATCGGCTTCATTTGCAAAAAGTCCACCTCGCTCACTTTGCCACCGATCATGTTGTAAAGATGTCTACCGCCGTGCGCACCGCCAAATCCTTTGACTGCGTATTCAAGGAACCATTTGCCGGATGATTTGCGTGCTGGAAAAGCACATTTGAATGTGTTTGATGTCCGGGATTCGATCACGCCAGCCAGCATTTGTAAGCACTTATCGACTCTTTGCTGAAACTTTGCCGGATGTGGATCCTTTGCTAACGCGTGAAAGTCATGTGCACTGAAGTAAACGCGTGCAAGGTCTCCGATGGGCCATTCCACCCGCCATTGTCCGCAATAGGATGCATAGGCAGCTCGATGACCAGAAGCGCTGCTATAACAGAATACTGGTCGTGCATTTGTTACGCAGAGTAACGTCATGAGGTTTGCACGCGAAATTACGGTACAAGTGGTCAATTTATGCCTTGTAAGAGGACGGAGAAGAGTTTATTCTTGCTAGTTGTCTTTCTAGGTCATCTGTTCCTTTCATGTTCCTATATATGGCGGAGACTGCCTTTGATATTTCATCGCAGACTGTATAACCCTACTTTGCTTGGGCTTTTTGTAACGTCTTTCGTAGCCCACCCTCTTCGTTTACTATGAAGTGGTAATAATATAGTCCAGGGATATGGACAGAGATGTCCAATCGCTTCACACAAGATACATCGATGTACATTGAACCTAGTGATGACGGTTAAACAAAAATGACTCATGAGCACCCCAGTGTTTTAGCTTGTTTGATATACATGAAAAGTTCCTGTCAGACAATAATATAGTTTTCTGTAGCCCACAAACATATAACTTGGGTTGCTATGGTCTGGTGATATATAACGGTCAGCAGTATTACTTCCAACAGCGGCTCCACCACTATTTATAACCTTGGCGATAAACCAAAAATTTTAATATTCAGATTTTTTTGAGCATTACATGGCCTTTAGAGTAGCACCTAATTTCAAATAGACAAAAAGAGTATAGACATGGGTTTCTAGATCCTGTAATTCACCTTTTAGGTCGAAGAGTATATCGACCAATAGGAATTAAGCAGTGGGCCCGTACAGGCCTGCCCCGGGCCGGCCCTTTCTGTCTGTTTCCTGGATAGGAAGGCGGTGTAGATGATAGGCGGTATCCGCGCTGTCCATCCTCCATGGATGTTCTCCCAACAGCAACTATCCTCAATGAACCACTGGCCTGGAGTCTTTATCCTCAATATTTTTTTTGGCAAGATTCAATAGAAACGGTGTAACAGACTACCAGGCTCTACATAGCTTACCCCAAAGCACTCTGATTATAGATGTAAGATAAGCATGAAAAATAGCATATTTTATTAATGAGAATATTCTCCATGGCTCAGACTGGTGTTGGTAAGCGCATGGGACTTGGGTTTTATCTATGTTCAGCAACTTAACGTGGCCTCCGTCCATTGGATATGTTAATTTCAACCTTGCACTACTTTTTGCCCCTCATTGCGCAACCGGTACCGGAGCGCTAAAGGGGAACGGAGTCCGGGGTGACTGCCCCTCGTTCACAACGCGCTTACGCGCTCTCTTTCGTGTCACTCTCCCCGTGTATTGCAGGTCTTCGTAACTAAAGTACAGCCAATTGCCATCAAATGTGAGTTTTGACTTCTCACTTGCATCAACACCCAAGCTAAAAAAAAAAAGCAGTCTTACTGAGACCACCAAAATCATGGAGAATATCTACAACCCACATCCCACAAAAGGTATGGATCGACAGGGCAATCTGAAACTCCACGGTAGCTTTCTTCAGTATGTTAACGATTCTCAGTTTGGACCACGCTCATAACAAATACTGCATACCTGTCTGGGCTTTTGACCCTTGAATACTCGCTCAGAAGAGTCGGCTCAAAGTATCCGCTTGTCGTTCTCTACACGGACTCATTCCCCGCCGAGGGCCACAAAGCCCTCGATTCCCGAAAAATCTTGAAGCGACATGTCCCGTATCTCCTTCCGTCAGCCCCCAAGGATTTCACCAACGATGTACGATTCTACGACTGTTGGAGCAAGCTCACACCGTTCTCACTTGTCGAATATGACCGTGTCGTGCAACTTGATAGTGACATGGTTGTCCTGAAAAATATGGATGAATTAATGGATCTCGAGCTGGATTCACCAGAAATGGCTGGAAACGGAAATCGAGTCTTTGCCGCTAGCCATGCTTGCACCTGCAATCCGCTTCATAAGCCTCACTATCCAGCAGATTGGTAAGACCGAGATTTTCTTTCCGGAAGCATTCGAACACGAATGTTAGCTAACTCGACAATTCTGACAGGGTTCCGGCCAACTGTGCCTATACTTTGCAGCATGAAAATCCAGACATCGCACAGACAGCCGGTGCTTCACCCATTACAGGGTTGGGGATACCCAATGGGGGCCTACAGGTGGTGAACCCAGCTCAGGCAACCTACGAGAAAATCACTGAACAGCTTGCTACTGCTACAACATCGAGTTATGACTTTGCCGATCAGTCCCTTCTTGGTGACCTGTTCCACGGTCGCTGGGTTGCACTCCCATATATATACAACGCACTCAAAACCTTGCGGTGGGAAGGTGTACATGACACTATATGGCGCGATGAGAGTGTTAAAAATGTACATTACATCCTGAGCCCAAAGCCATGGGATGACCCTGCAGATAAACAGGACCAGGATCCATCGCACGCATGGTGGACATCATTGAACGAGAAAAGGTTGATCAAGGAACAGGAGACGGGTGTAAGGGATCAATTTTGAGCTGTCTGTTTGGGAATTCTGAACCGCTGCTCTTGAGCTTTCGATATTCATATACGCGAAATGCCCCATTCTTTGGGCACTTTTATCGAAAGACAGTTCTCAACAATACATCTTCCTTGTGGTGTGTATATGTACTCGTTTAAACTGGCCCCTCGTAGTAACGTGGCATGTAGCTTATCACACCTGTGACCCCATAAAGATCTGATGTGACCGAATTGCTGTTCTGACTCCAGGGTCATCGCACCGAAACATTCTAGATGACCCCGCAAACTCCAGCACAATTCCAATAGTATCTACTGACTCAACTGACGTTATTTAGCGCCACCTTAGGATTTAATGTTTCATTGAATCATTTCGCCAACACACACTGATCCGAAATACGTACCCCTGCAACCGAAGCTTGCTAGTATGGGGCAATTCCTGCACTAGTGATACGCTTATCAATTTGTGCCTAAGTGGTGCCTTATACTCGTTCTTCGTTAATGTCTACCTGCTGCTCATTTTCCACAAAATGTCTCTGCTTCGTTTGCCAAATGAACTCCTGCAGCTTATCATAGAGGAGCTGGGATTAGTGCGCGATATAAATGCTTTCGTTCGAACAAATATCCGTCTTTACGGTCTCTTCAACACATATCTTTATTTTTACGATGTGCAACAACTTGGGAGTTCCGCATTATTGTGGGCTACAAAGCATGGACAAGAAGCCACAACTCGAAAATCACTCCAAGGAGGGGCTGATATTGAGACGATCGAATCAAATCGGACACCAGTGGCGCTGGCGGCAGAAAACGGGCATAAGATCGTGGTCGAGCTGCTACTCGCCACAGAGGGCGTTAATCCAGACCGCATGGATAATGTCAAACGGACGCCGCTGTCAATGGCAGCAGGGAACGGACATGGTGCAGTGGTCAATTTACTGCTCATTACAACCGGCGTCGACCCAGACTCTAGGGACTTTCAGGGACAGACTCCCCTGTCTTGGGCAGCAGAATACGGACATGAGACGGTAGTCAAGCTGCTGCTTAGCACAGAAGGTGTCAACCCAAATTCCAGGGACTATAATAGACGGACGCCTCTACTGCTCGCTGCACAGAACGGACGCGCGGCAGTGGTCAAGTTACTGCTGACTGTCGGGAGCGTTGACCCAGACTGCAAGGATTCTCTCGGATGGACGCCGCTAGCGTCGGCAGCGCAACATGGCCATGAGGTAGTGGTCAAGCTCCTACTCGCTACGAAACGTGTGGACCCAGATTCCAACAATTATCTCAAGCGGACTCCGCTCTCATTGGCAGCACAGGGGGGACGTGAGGGGGTGGTCAAGCTACTGCTAGCTACGGAGAGTGTCAACCCAGACAGCAGGGATTCGGATGGACAGACCCCGCTATCGCGAGCGGCAGAGAATGGGCGTGAGGCGGTGGTTAAGCTGTTACTTGCTACCGAGGGTGTTAACCCAGATTCCAAGGATTCTTTTGAACGGACGCCGTTGTCATTGGCGACAAGGAAGGGGCATAAGACGGTGGTTAAACTGCTTCAGATATACGGGATACCTGGTCAAAATATTCCCAAGCACTAGACTAATACGGAGCATTTAGAGATATGCACGTGAGGCAACTAAATATTCATAGGACCAGTAATTTTGCTTTTAAATATATATGAAGTAATAATTATACATGCAAAGTAAGCAGTAGTTCAGCCCTCGGTATCCTTGACTGACTGTTCAAGATCGGGGACCTTCTTTTTCCCAATACGAAGTTTTTTCCGTAAATTCAAAGCTCTCACACGGTATGCGCGCTTTCGCCTCCGTGGGGGATAGTTGACTGGACTCTCACCGCCAGTAAAGATAGCCATGTCATAGATCAAGGCGCCAAACAGTGCACCAGTGATGTCTGCAACCCATGGACCCCAAATCCACCATGCATGGTATTCTCGGAAGATCTGGCCACCCCATCCAGCCATGAGGGCAACAAGTCGTGGACCGAAGTCTCGCGCGCCGTTGAAACAACTATAAGATGATTAGTTTCAAACAAATTTGGAATTCGGAATTGGAGATTGGACACATACCCTCCGGTGTTATATCCAAGTGCAAGGACCACAATCGTGATGATAATCCCAATAATAAATGCCTGCATTCCAGCTCCTGGAGGTGCATTTGTATCATCACCCAGAGCGAGAATAGAACCAACTAAGATTGCGCTGCCCAAAAACTCAGTGAAGAACGCAGTGGCAGGATGGACAAATGGTTTCGGTAAGGTGAGAAGAGCCTGACTAGCGACGCTTGCATTCTGAGGCACTTTGGCGACTTTGGCGACTTCAACAATGGCGTCATGGTAGATCGCGTATGATATACCGCCTGCGGTGATGGCACCGAGGAGTTGCGCAGCAATGTAGACCACACATCGACGCGCGGGGAATCCACGAAATACAGACAGCGAGACTGAGATGGCTGGGTTCAAATGGCCACCAGACATACCTCCGGTAGTGTAGATAGCGGCCATGAATCCAAAGCCCCAGGCGGCACTTTGAGCAGGGTATGATCCTGCTTGTCCGGAGGAAGTAAAGTTCGACAAGGTAGCGCAAAGACCGATTGTCATTGCCATGGTTGTCTGCGAAAGATATATATTAGCAAATTGTTTAGTGTTTTTGGGCTATATCGAAAACTTACTCCGAGCCATTCAGCCAGCGGCTCACGAAGATGGTGGCGTATTTTCGACCAGCTATTAAAAAAGCCGTCGTCTTTCGGGTCATTGACCCTCTTCATTCGATTTTCCACCGACTGTTGTTTTTGAACTTCATGCGTGTGCGCTAAATCCTCGCCGTTCTGTGTCCTATCGCCTCGAGCTTCCTGTCGATCCTCCTGTCGATCCTCTGGCAAGGCGCCATGACGCATGCCCGGTCGGACAATATGAGGGAGTGGTTGGGCCAAACTCCAAGTTGGGCTATCGTCTTCTTGGTTAAATTGAGAACTGTATTGCTCGTACTCTTCATTCGTATATCCACGGTTGTTGTTTGGATTCTGCGCGCCAGAGCCCGCCAAACTGTATGACGGGTTGTTTCCCATGCCGTCATTTTTGCTTCCTTCTTCTTGGGTGCCTTCTTGTTGCAAGTGTTCGGGATATTGCACAGCGTCTATCAAGGTATTAGCGTGTTTCGCAACGATATCTTCAACCCTCATACCTTTGACTCCGGTATCCCGGTCGGGTTCTTTCGAGGACTCCATCACAAAATATGAAAAAAATCGCCTTGTGTAGGACTAACGCAAAGAAAACTAGAAAAGTGTAGACTCATTCTAGTCCGGGGTGCAATCATTTTTAAATGACCCTTGTGTCAAAAGCTTGATTCTAAACCTATAGAGTGGATAAAAGATGGTTAACTCCACTCTTTCGTCACCGTTAAATCTCAAACCCTTATTCTTTTGAGACTGCCAAGGAAGAAATGTTCCAAGGTTGATCTTCTATTTAGATAATAGTTGATTGGTGGATACCGTTCCACTCCTTGTGCGCTTCCATTACAGGACCCATAGTATTGAGTAGGACCTGGTACAAAAGTCTGTTCCTATATAGACAACGGACTTCTATACATTTTCCATTTGTAAACGTGAATCTCTTCCTTTTACTCTGGTTGTATGCAGTATACAAACAGCTTGTCTATTCCAACAGGGTTCTTGGCAGTAAGTAAACCATGGATATCCGAAAAAAAAAGCAATATCGCGAGGCCTTGAAAGTGGACTTCCTTGACAGATACCAAGACTGCCTAGATGCAAGATCAGATATCAGGGCTGCCATGTGGCAATATTACCTCACGTCAGGGAAGGACTATGAATTGGTTCCGCCAATCACGACCGATACGCCACCCGCAAAGCCAAGGATATATCCGGACGAACTACCATATCCATGGGATCTACAGTCCAGTAAGCCTCTTACGGAATGCCGTTGAAAGTCGGCTTTTCTTCTCTTGTCAAGTGAATACAAAAATGCTTGCTTTCTCGTCTAGAACACGTCGGCCCTACCCGCCTTCTCTTCCATGAAGCTCCCGGAAACTTGCTTCTTCAGCCCACTGACATTAAATCTGGAGCTAACATATATGTGAGTATGTAAATTTCCTCCCAACCGCCACACCCATCCTTCTAGCGCCAGGTCGAAGAGACTATGATGACCACGCACTGCCGTCAAGTGGAGGTAGTCGCTAGCTCCTGGGGCGGTTTCTGGGCCGAGAGCTCACTAGGAGGAGCATAAGCCGATGTCTGTCCCTGCAAATCCCGATGTGTCATGGCAGACTGGGATTGGAGCCCCGCTACCGTGGCCTGAACAGAGAGACGTTTTCTCCGTTCGAATAATGCCCAGCATAGTGCAGTGAGAAGCAGGACTCCTAGGGGGATCCCCACTCCGGCTCCAATCGCGATATCATTATTACCTTTCCCATCCTTGTTATCATTGCACTCCTTGTTCCCACTGCTTGACGTTGTAGGACATGCAGTTGTGTTCGAAGTTGACGTGGAGTTTGAGCTAGCATCACCAGAAGTGTAATTGGCGAGCGCAGCCTTGCCCCAAAGAAACTCTGCAGGATCAAGTGTGAAGGGGGAACCAGCAGAACAAGCGAGCTTGTTTGACGCATCGACTATGATGGAGTTGGCGCAATATTCAGACTTTTTGTCCTCAATACGATACAACGGCAGCGCACACCCCTTATCGAGCATGCTGGTAACTGTAATCAGGAAAAGGGCTGTTAGCTTTGAAGCAGGAAATAAAAATGCCTGAGGCCGACTTGCCCTTAGAACACTTATCATCACATCCGCCCTCTACTGGCCAGTCTTTATTGGTACAGCTACCCCGACTCAGCACAAATGGTTGTGCTTTTCCATAACAAAGTCCATTGCTAAGACAAATCGAATCTTTGGAGCAACATGGTGAGTCTTTGTCACCAGAGAAGCAGGGAACATCGTCGACCGCAATATTTCCCTTGGGATAATAGCAGGTCTTGTCTGCTGCCACCAGGCACGCAAATATGGAGAGGTGGAGGAAGATATGGGGGAGCATCGCGAGAGAATGGAATATCGAAGCAGCTGGAGGAATTTTCTACAGCCCCATTAGTATTGAAAATGGGGAAACCTCAGCCTAGAGCCGCATTGTTATCTAAACCACAAAGTGACACGGGAAATGACAAAGGATCAACATCTCAACCGAGGCTATAACCAATCAGTGTCTCCCAAGTCAGTCTCTAGAACAATAGTGGTATAATAGTAGAGAATAAAGTGGGGAAGCCACGGGAAGGACTTGGGGGCCATGCGCTGGCTGAGCAACATCTTGGTGAACGTTTTACGGATGTCCAAGCCGCTATACTGTTCCTACTTTATCGTTATTAGAGCGTTGCTGTGTACTCCGTACCATATCAACAGATATGTGTGGCAATAGGTAGAGTTGGGCGTGGAATTGCAGTTGGTGAGCAGGGTCATAGCGCTGTCAAGAACGCAAGGTGAAATGCGACGGTCTTGACTCTTGATAGGGTGATGATTATGACATTTCGATCGTCTGAATAAGTATCGACTTTTTGCTTTGCGTCTCGTTGGTAATATCATACCTATGGTGACATAGATTAAATGAATCATTGTAGGTTTAAGAACAAGAATAGTTGCCCACTTATGCCGGTACTTTGATGGATAATTTGGGACTCTGAAACATATTGTGAGTCGTGTGCCTTCAAGCTCCCATTCCCAGGCTTTGCGACATTTTGCTGAATCTCTGTCGCAACAGATATATTATTATCTTGCTCCTCGACTTCGCCTCGCACCGAATTTAGAATGTTCTCTTGGCCTTGACTGGCCATAGAATACCATAATTTGGACGACATTGTCAGATCAAATTGGCGGTTTGAATCGGATAGATCATTGCCTATATGCATTTAGTGAGTATAGGAGCAGAAGAGAGACCTTTTTTTGGGTTATGAAATTGAGGTCGAGATCGTTAGAGGGTTCGTGCCCCATTGGGGGCCAAATGGACGAACTTAAGACAGTGGAGCTTAATCAAACCACCAGGAACGCCTATGGCTTGCTTCTATGGGCTATGCTAGACCCAGGCTCTGGCGCTATACATATTAGATGCGGGAATCTATTTCTATGACCCGGCTTCTCCCATATTCTGTATTTGCTTTTGTTTCCCCGATTCAAGGGGGTTCTTTGCGGGAATCATGAGAGCAACTTTGTTGGCCTTCGTGGCAGTTGCCATAGCGCGACAAGCCCATATCGGATCGAATGGAGTCATTCAGGGCCATGAGGCACCGAAGAATCCGGGGGTCACAGAGTGGCTTGGAGTTCCTTACGCGCAGCGGCCGGTCGACCAATTGCGATTCGCACCGCCCCAAACCTACACGCCCAGGGGTGTTCATGTCGCGTCAGAATATGTATGATCGCGTCTTATCCCTCGTGCCCGCTATAAAATGCCTGAATATGTGGTTCTGACATTGGTATAATCTAGGGGAAGTGAGTACTATCTGGGGTGATGTTATTCCCGAGGTCTGCATTCTTGATTAACAGGAATGTACAGAGACTGCATGTACTCGGTGTCGAAGCTGGTCGACTATCCCGATAAAACTCCGCAATTTGACAGCATCTTCGAGGCCTTCGGGGCTATTAATAACCACACTCAAAGTGAAGATTGTTTGACTCTGAATGTTTGGTCAAAGTCAGACTCAAATCAACTCAAGCCCGTCTATGTCAACTTTTACGGTGGCAGTAGGTTTTTTGGTACTTATTTTTATCTTGCCTCATGTTTCTGATCCATGATATAGGATGGACAAGTGGCACGACCAATACCCCTTTTTATTATGGAGGCGGATTTGCTGATGCAGAGGATGTAATCGTTGTGACGGTCAACTACCGCATGAACATCTTCGGGTTCCCTGGTCTACCTGGACACCCTCCTAACCTTGGTCTACTAGATCAGCATTTGGCCGTTGAATGGGTGAAGCAAAACATTCATGGATTCGGAGGCGACCCAGACCGCATTACTATATCTGGCCAGTCCTGCGGAAGTGCTTCGGTTGACTATTGGGCATACGCCTACCAGTCCGAGCCCCTAGTCGCCGGTTTGATATCGCATTCCGGCACAGCCATCAGCTTCCCAACAAATAATATGACAACTGCAGCAAAGAATTGGTATGCTGTGTCCGACCAGCTAGGCTGCGGATCTTCGGGGGATGTCCTGCCGTGCATGAGAAAGCAGAGTGCGAGCGCCATTCTCGCCGCCGCTAGTGCAGTGAAGGTCCCGAACCCAAATCCTGCGAGGAAATCTCCGGCTTTCCAGCCCACTGTGGACGATGTAACTGTGTTTGAGAATTACACTCTTCTTTCAGAGCAAGGGAAATTCGCCCGTATCGTGAGTGAACTCTCCTATATCTCAAACATACTCGATGGGTCAATGTAGCTGCTAACCAACACCTGCCCCCAAACAGCCCTACCTGGTCGGCCACAACGCCAATGAAGCGGGATTCTACAAGATTTCAAGCTACGCCCAGGGATCGAAGTTGACAGACAAGCAGTGGGATGACTTCAATATGCAAACGTTCTTCTGTCCATCCAACCTCGAAGCAGCACACCGAAGTAAGCGACATACACCGGCTTGGCGCTTCCAATATAACGCGGATTGGGAGAATACCCGTCTTTATCCCACTAGTGGGGCATATCATGGCGTCGAGTTTAACATGCTTTTTGGAGAATCTGCCGAGATCACTGGGATTGCTGAGTCTGATTCGCAGCGCCAGCTGCAGGATAAGATGCGTTCAGCTTGGGGCTCATTCATCACTGACCCCCAAGGCGGACTAAATGCCCTGGGATGGCCGAGTTATAATCCTGAAGGTGAGTCCATGCAGATTCGATCAAAATGGGGTTTCCTCTAACATTCTTTCAGCCTCGACACTTGTTGAAATCGGTCTTGATAATCATCCCAGCGTGTCTTTTGTAGACACGAAAGACTCCGCTGAGCGGTGTGTAGCTTTGCTGGCGCAAATATGACGCAGCTTTATATTGTTGATGCGAGCGGCTTTCATCCCTGTATGTCTCTAGGCTGTTTTTGTGTCATGAATATATATATAATGATTGGACCCTGACATGGGCCACTGGATCACGGCAAGGTATGAGCACTAAAACGGGCAGGGAAATTCTGAGTGACATTTGGTACATCATACAACATGTGTGCCCCGTGCTTTTGTTCGGATATCGGCGAATTTAGCCCCGAGGTCCGTTCCGAGGTTTCCAGGGCCTCGGCCTCGGCATCCGCTTACTAAGTTTTAAATGTTGGGCTACCTGAGTAGGTGGCTAGGTGCAGCCGAGGTGTATATCCACCTGGGCATCTATAGATGGATTACATATGTGTTTCTAGTCATTGCAGCCTAGTAGAATAGCTACAGCTACATTTTATCTATGTTGTAAGTACACATGAATATACATAGGCTCATAAAGTGACAGTAGGATAAACATATCAAACGCTATGTACAGCAGACGCCATGAATTCCAGTGGTTCAAACGCCAAAGACCCACAGTGCTAAGAAACTAAGAATAATACATGAAAAAGTCAAGCAAATCGGTCACCGGTCGAAGATGGCCTTCATATCCGCGCACGCATCGCGGTATAAAACGTCGACGCTTTTTTGGTCCCGCCACGGATTGGGTGACTTATCCCACCCATGCTGGGCTCTCTCGATCAGCATAGCACGGGGGCGTTTGCCAAGGCTTTCTAATCGGCGAACGAAAGCTTGGCCTTCCTTCATCAACATGTCCCACTCGCAGATAAAGAAAAACACGTCGCGGGGAAGAGCTTCAGACAGGATACGGTCAGATGCGTGGACTGGAGATGCATATGGGGAGGCACGTTCGGCCAAATCGGGGAGATAAGCCTCATCAAAGAGGGTGGTGAAAAATGCTGGGAGAGTCTTGTCCGGCATCATGCTCATAGCACGACGGTGGTCGCGAGATTCTTCAAAGTCGAGTATCGGGTACCAGCAGAACAAAGCAACGATGTTGAGATCGCTGACCTGACTGAGCAGATTCTGTGTGGATTCGGCTCGACCCAGATTTTCCTCCACTTCCGTGGAGATTCGGCCACGCAGCCGCAAGGGCACCGTGACAGCCAGGTTGCCGCCTGCCGAGAACCCGCTCAGCGCCACACGGCTCACATCCAGCCCCAGTTCGCCCGCATGTGTTGCGAGATATAGTAATGCCTCGACTCCGTCATCTACTGCCGCGGGGAAGGGGTGCTCCGGAGCTCGTCGGTAGCTGACGCTCACCATTACGGCCCCGACATTGTCCAGCACTATTTTCGCCCAGCGAGAATCATCCGTAGCGGCGCCAAGTGTGAAACCACCACCGTGGAAGTTGACGGCGACGGGGAAGCGATGGCCTAGCCTTCGTTGTTCGTGGTAATTTGGTGGACAGTAGAAGTGGAGGACGACGGGATGGCAATGAGAGTCGGAGTTAACGGTACGGGTGAATAACGGTCGGGGAGGTCGGGGAGGGCCGATCTCGTGCAGGAACATGCCGATGCGCATCAGAAACCGCCAAAAGATGGCCTGCACATATAGCCACCAACGAGACGAGGCCATGATGCAGTGGGAAATAACGTTTCGTCCTACTGAGCTAGCATGCGCATCGGAGTGACCCGGAAGTCGGAAGTCAAAGATAAGACGGGGGTAATACCGGAAGACCGCAAGACCGCAATACCGCAAGACGGCACTGAAAGAAATTGAGGCTGGAAGAAGAATGAAGGGAAATAAGATAACCTCGGAGTAAAGAGAGACAAATGGTCGGAATAATAGCAATCGGTACAACGTAAGATGCCGAAGCAATGGCCAGTTTTGCAGGGCTCCATACCAAGGAAATCAGGGTTTCTTGGTATTGGATGATGTCATCACATCTTCAGGCCCTGTCCAAGTTTACATTATTTATTGATTTTTAATCCTTGTCCTCTACTCGGTACGTGATTACTGTATATTACTTTTATATTCAAGTCTTTTCCTCTAGGCAGTTCCTGTTTTGCCGTCGATCTTCCTTACAAAGGTTTCCAAGATTTGAAACATTTGGATCGCCCGTTCCGGGCCCCCCACCCTCTCCCTTATATATACAAATTCCCTCTTCTTTCTCTTTTTCCCTTCCCCATAAACTTACAATATGTCGATTAAACGTGCCCTCTCCAAGGCCATTAGAGGACACTTGGGAGGTGAAGATGACTCCTCCGGTTCCAACATTCGTTCTGCCCTGCCACCCAAAGTGCGCACCAACCAATCTCGGTCCGGTTCCCCCAGTGCATCCCCTCGTCGCAGTATTCTCGGCAGCTTCCTACGTGATAAGAATGAGTATGTCTCTTCATCTGATGATGTCTCCGACGATTCCTCTACCGGTGCCTTGAGCAAAAATCAACAAAAGCGGTTGGTGCGTCAACATCGTCGAAGCGAACGCAGTCGCCTCAGCGAGGAGATGTTCTCCGAGACCGACCACCGCCGCAAGGAAGAGGAGATTGCCAAAGCCGCAGCTGAGGAGACGCCAGAGATGAAAGCTCGATATGGTGAGCTGCCCTTAATGCAGTCCGCTACTCGTTCAGGAGAATTGCGGACTCGGATCGATGACATATCTCTTGCCATGGAGGGACAGCAAGTGTTTTTCAGCGCACGATTGCACGTCATCCGTCGGATGAGTGCCAAGCTAGTCTTCCTAGTATTCCGCCAGCAGCTAGGCACCTTCCAGGGTGTTTTGCATGAGCGGGAGGGGATCTCGTCTATCGCCATGGTCCAGTGGGTCGAGCACCTCCGGGTGGGCTCTTTCGTCACGGTCCGAGGCACTTTACAGAAGCCCGAGGTTCCAGTGATGGGCTGCTCAATCCATGATGTTGAGCTGGCCGTTGAGTCGGTTCACCTTCAGGTTCGCCGCGAGGAACCTGTTCCCTTCAGCGTCTACGAGGCAGAGATTAGGACCAACGAAGAAGATAAGGCCGAGGGCCGCCGCAACCATATTCCTGACCGAACACGTTTGGCCAACCGAATCCTCGACCTTCGCACAGCAACCTCGCAATCCATCTTCCGTATTCAGTCCGCAACATGTAATCTTTTCCGTTCTGCACTTGACGACCGCGAATTCATCGAAATCCATACCCCGAAGCTGCAAGGCGCAGCAACCGAATCTGGAGCAAGTGTCTTCCAGGTCAATTATTTCGGCCGCCCTGCATTCCTCGCTCAGTCTCCTCAGTTGGCGAAGCAGATGGCCATTGCTGCAGATTTCGGCCGCGTCTACGAGATTGGCGCTGTTTTCCGTGCTGAAAACTCCAATACCCACCGTCATCTTACAGAATATACTGGATTGGATCTTGAGATGGCTATTGAGGAGCACTACCACGAGATGCTTGAGACCCTTGATGCTGTGATTAAGAATATTCTCAAGGGTATCTACACCAAGTACCGCCGCGAGGTTGAGCTTGTCAAGTACCAGTTCCCCTCCGAAGATGTCGTATGGCTAGAACAGACGCCAATTATCCGTTTTACCGATGGTATCAAGATGCTGAACGACTCAGGCTGGTTGAGTGAAGACGGCGAGCCGCTACCTACAGATGAGGACCTGGGTACCCGTGATGAGATTCGCCTGGGTGAGCTTGTCAAGGAGCAGTATGGCACCGACTACTACGTCCTTGACAAATTCCCTCGCGGAGCACGCCCCTTCTATACGATGCCCGACGCCGAAGACGACAAGTATACCAACTCATTTGACATGTTTATTCGTGGACAAGAGATTGTCTCGGGTGGTCAACGTATCCACGATCCCCACATGCTCGAGGAAAACATGCGTCGTGTGGGTATCAACCCGGATGATATGGAGGAGTACCTTGAGGGCTTCCGCTGGGGTGCCCCACCTCACGCAGGTGCAGGAGTTGGCCTGGAACGTATCGTGATGCTTATCCTTAAGCTGGGCAACATCCGACTGACGTCACTGTTCCATCGCGACCCCAAGAGTTTGCCAGCGAAACCTATCGCTGAACAGCTCCGCCACCCAGAATCGTCGACCATTGAACCGCCGTGGCACCGTGAGCACAAAGCTCGGGCAGCTACGGACCCCAGTGAGCTGCAACCTCTGGAACATCTGGTGGCCAACTACGGTGATGCCACATCCACCTCCTGGTTTGATGACCGCTTCAAGATCTGGCGTGACATGACCACTGGTGCAGCCGTCGCCTACGTGCCTAGCTCTAACAACTACGCAATCATTCCCGGCAACCCGGCCTGTGACCCCAAGCAGTACACACGCACAATTACACAATTCTTGCAGTGGCTACGCCGCGACACCAAGTTCAAGCCCGTGTGGATCCTCTGCTCGCCCGAGGTCGAGACTATCCTTGGAGAGCGACTAGGCTGGCGCAGTTTGTCCTGTATCGCCGAAGAGCGCGTTGACCCATCGCGCAATCAGGCCGCTTCCGATGGCGAGATTGCACGCAAGCTGCGTCGTGCCGAAAGTGAGGGAATCAAGCTAGTCTCCATGAACCAAGGCGAGATGGTTCCAGACGACATCCGCCAAAAGATTGACGAACGTGTCGCCGAGTGGCTGGCTAACCGCAAGGGTACACAAGTTCACCTGTCCCAGATCCGCCCATGGTGTGACTCCGAGCATCGTTGGTACTTCTACGCTCTGGACAAGAACGGCGGCGTCTGCGCCTTCGTCGCTTTGGCTATGCTATCTCCTGCCCACGGTATGCAAGTCAAGTACAGTCTTGATTTCCCGGGCGCACCCAACGGTGTGATCGAGTACATTGTCACGCATGCAATCCAGACCGCCGCTAAGAGCGGCGTCAAGGGCCTCACATTTGGCGCTGGCGCCACTTCCCAGCTCACCGCTGGCCACAACATGCACGGAACCAAGGTCAAGATGCTGGAGCACACCTACGAAGCCCTCGCTAAGCAGTTCCATCTTGTGCGCAAGAGTGAATTCCGTGCTAAGCTCGGCGCCACCGAGGACCCGCTGTACATCTCCTACCCGTC